ATAGATCATAAATTTAGTTAGAAATAATTGCCTAAATAAAAATAATCTGTTTAATTTTAAATTACTATTACTATATAATAACTATATATATATTAAATTAATTATTTGTATATTGACACAAGCATAAACTATATTAGTGCAAGCTTATTTCTTGTTGAACTAAGCTTAAAAATCAGCAACTTCTAAATGTAATTAAAGCATATATAAAATTAATTTCAATAAATACACATATAAAAAAATGCTCAAAGTGTGAATTATATGAATATTCACTGATGTTTATTGAATTTTGATAATGATATATTATTTTATTACATGAAATTTATAGACCCACATTCATCTGATTAGCTAAATTTTATAGATCCAGCTATGATTTTCCATAATAATTAGCCAATCAGATTATATAATTTAATCAAACGAATTCAAAAACAAACAAAACTTGCTAGTAAAACTTATATCTTATTTTTTATTAATTATTTTTTATTAATTATATTTAATTGCATAATCGAGTATAAATTATATTTTAATTATTACTATCTTTATTGAAGATGCTACTATCTTTAAAAATATATTATCAATTAGACAATATCTTATTTGATAAATTTTTTTAGTTTTTACCCATATTTGTATCTGTCAAAGAAAAACTTACAAGAAATTTTATTATTTATTTATATAAATTCTTAAATAGTCTGATTTTTTTGTTATTACAGTTGTTGCACTACTATTTTTCATTTATATTATTAATTAATACTACATGTTTCTATCTATACTATGTCAATTATACAAAAGATTATATATATATATAACAAAATTTTATATATCTGCAAATATAATTGGTTAATATTTTACTGCACCAAACTTTCTTATTAGAATTTGATTTGATAACCTGACCAAGTTATTATTAAATTTTAAAAAATTTAAATTTTTTTATTAAAATATAATAACCTGATTTAATTAAATTTTAAATTTTAAAAATTTAAATTTTCTTATTAAGATTTAATAACTCAACCAGGTTATGAGAAACAAAAAAAAATTTTTGCATAGCCTTATATTTAAAAATTTTTATTATTAAAAAATTTTTAAGATATTTTAAAATTTCATATGTTTCTGAAGCTAAAAAAAATTTTTATACTTTGTACAAATCTAAATTTTTATAAATAAATTGCAAAAGTGTTACTAATAAAAATATCATTCTAAGGATAGTGATTCTAATGTAGTAGTTAGTTGTCATCCTTCAAGTGGCAGATCTAAGGCTCAAATCCTATTTATAATGAAATTTGGAAATTATATCTGTATTATAATAACTGTTTCTTGTTAATCAGTTGGCCTTATGTGGCTATAACTTAGATACATCAAGTTAGTCCTACTAACTATAGATGCTGATGAAATAAAATCGGGGTAGTGAAATGATTTCACCATTTTACCAATCACCAATCGGTATTGGTATAACTGGTGTAATTGGTGAATTGGTGTAATTGATGTAATTGGTGAATTGTGATGAATTGGTAAATTGGTGAAACAGTGAATTGGTGAAATGGTAAATTGGTGAAATGGTGAATTGGTGAAATAGTGAAATAGTGAAATGGTGGAATGGTGAAATAATCAGATGAATTTCTAGAGTTCAGAAATTCATCTAATTATTTTAATCTAAAGTCTAGATTGTATTTGCTCTCTGAAGATTAGATTTTTGTTTAAGTTTTTATGCTTTTATAGGTACTCTTAGAGATCAGAACCATTAACTGCTATTCATATATCCGTATAGCCAACACATATCGGATCCTTACAGATAATAATCTTCATTTGTCAAATTTTAAAAAAGATAATCTGTAGGTATCCTGTGGTCAACATGAATTCTAGAATTCACAAAACTCATTTATATGTTATATAGTACTAATTCGAAGTAGCAATAACAACAAAAACTAGTTTATGTACTATTTAGTTATATAAAACAAATATATGCCTAGTAAATTCTGGAAAGATTATTAGTATATAAAAATATAAGAGTAAAATAATCTAATATTATACTATAATATAAATCTTGTTTTCAAATAAATCTCACGCTTTCAAATTTGGTTTACATATTTATTCTACCTGACCTGTATCATTCGCTTTTATAAATTTTTTATATTACTATCACTATATATATATATTTCTAATTCTTCTCTCCATTATATGTCTATAAGTTCGTATAAACCTTTCTTATAACTTAAAGATATTTTATTATAACAATAACTTAATACTATGTACATTTTAAACTTTAGCAGTTTTTTTTTTCTAACACATGTCTAAAATCTAATTATTTTTTAGGTTATAATATAATGAAAACTTATATTAAGAATTTTTTTTATTTTTTTTAAATGCTTCTATTTACTTTTTTGTCAACCAAAAAGCCAAAAACAGTAAAGTTGATGTCTCATAATTTAATCATACATCTGCAGATATCAATACAAAACCTGCTCATTTACCTGTGGTATTGGATATTCAGTTATTTAAGGGTTTTAATTAAACAAACAACTGAATTAAAATAGTAATTAGGATACATCCATATGTGGATAAGAACAAACTCGGTTCTAAACTTAGTAATATCATATCAATTGTAATTGTGTTTTTTATCTTTAATTATTGATGTACTTAAAATATAATATGAGAAAATAAAGAGAATATCAAGGAGTCAAAATCCCAATACTTACTTTATATATTAGTATATAAATTCGCCAAATATCAAGTTTGAATCTAGTATTGAATACTGAACTTTGGTTATAATAAACTAGAATATATATTTAATTTTTACTAGCTATCGTAGTGATATATAATTATAATGATAATCTTTTTTGAAAATTAATGGCCTCATGAAATTTGGAAACTAGTTCTAATACATTTAGTATTAATAAAAATAAATTACAGGAGTATAGTGAAACAAATGAATCAAGTGAATCAAGTTTCTTGCTTACAAAACGTAGAAATGTTAGTAGTAAAAAACAGTGAGATATTTGGCTTTATGTTAATCAAGATGTTAGTTTAGGTCAGGGACATTATAAAGCTAGTTGTAGATATTGTCCTGTTTCATAGAAAAGAGGTCGACCAGATGATATGCACATGCATCTTGCTTGACAATGTTTAAATATTCCTGATGAAATTAAATATTTTTGGAAAGATTTTATTGCTGAAGAAAAAACTTCAATACAAAAAAAAACAAAACATAATCAATCTGATATTACAATTCATTTTTCAAAAGTTAAACCACTTCCTAAAACATAAGTGGAATCTTTAAATAAAGCTATTTTAAAAACTTGGATTATATATAATTTTTTATTTGAAACTATAAAAAATCTTTTCATAATTAATTTGTTTCAACTTGCAATTTTTGGATATGAACTTCCATCATGGGATAGACTCTCTGGTCGCTTTTTAGACCAAGAAGTTTTAAGAATTGATAAGCGAATTGATAATGATTTAGAAAAAGAAGAAAACCTTACTTTATGTATATAATATAATTTTTTTTAAAAATTATAATTAATAGAATTTTTTAAAAAAAATTTTTTTTGTTATAATAGCTCTTGACAGATAGACATCACCTACTCATGATTCAATTTATAATTTTATTATTACTACATCCAAGCATAAAGAATATTTCATTAAACTTAAGAAGTATAACAAAGTTAGTCATACTGAAGCATTTATGGCTAGTGAAATTTTAAGTTTTATTGAGAAAATAGGTGTTAAAAAGTTCGCAGCAATTGTTACAGATTCAGAAGCAAATCTTTAAGTAGCTCGTCAAATTATTTATGACACTTATCCTTCTATATTAAATTTCAGATGTGCTGCACATGCTGTAAATTTGCTTGCATCTGATTTTACTAAATTAGATTCAATTAAAGATATTGTTACAAAATGTGATTTAATTTTGAATTTTTTTCATAATTCTCATGTTGCTCACGGATATTATTCAGAACAACTTCGTCTTATGAAAATTAAAGGTAGAGAAATTAAGTCATACTGTAAAACTCGTTGGGAAACACTTTTTACAACAATAGATTCAATTGTTAAATCTAAACCAGTTTTTGATTAAGTAAGTTTAATATTTAATATTTATTTAATTTTAAATTTATAGTAATACGTATAGTATACATAATAATTATGTAATATTTTTATATACATATAGATTTTAGAAAATCATATGTTTGTAATTTCTAATACTGCAGTATTTGATCTTCTTGAGAACGAAGATTTTTATATTAAGTGCCGTCAGGTCTCAGTTATTTTGAAATCTGTAAAGGAATTAACAAATCATTTAGAAGCTAAAACAGCTAATCTAGCTGATATTTTTATTGGGTTAGTTAAATTAGCTGTAAATATTAATCGAGTTGAAAATTATAATCCGTGGAAAAGAAATATTATTATTAATTTTAATTAACGATTTGATGAACTTGTAAATTCTGTTACAATTCTTGCATACTAGTTACATCTCTTATATAGAGGTATATATACAAAATTGGCTGAATTTTTTTTTTATATACATACGTATCATCGCTTAATAATATATATATTTTAGGTCATGGCTTAAAAAGAACAGTATTGGATAAAATTTATAAAATAGCTGTATTAATTTGGAATGATTTACATTATTCAGAAGAATCATATACACAATTATTGATAGAAATGCGAAGTTGGAAAAGAAAGGATGAACCTTACCATCTTTCCTATAATTCTACTCATGAAACACCAATTAAATAGTGGCATAGTATATATGTTAATGATGATCAAGATTAACTCCAACAATTGGCACTATACTTATTCTAATTGTTCCTTCACAAGCTGTCTGTGAAAGAAACTTTTCAATACTTTAATGGTTTTATAGCAGTAAATGAACCTGACTTTTTCTTTCTTGAGTAGAAGATATGGCAAAAATACGCTCTTACTACCTTTCAAATTCTGATAAAGAACTTCAACTTTATGGCAAAGATTTAAATTATGAAAAGTTGTATGAAAGTATTAATACATCAATGGTTACATATGATTTACTTGAAACTGCAGATCAAAATACTAAAAACGGTGGGACTAATAATTTAGATAATACTAATGAAAGCAAAGATTTAGAAAGTTTAATATTAAATATTGCAGATTTAGTAGATTTAGGGTTGCCAGAATTTTTAGTATCTGAAGATGCAATATTTTTTTTAGATTCTGTTACAACTAATCGGGCTAGAGATGTAAGTAATATGAATTACAATCCTATTGAGTTAGCACATCAAATGGTACAAGATAAAGAGGATTAAAAAATTTATTATATTAGTATTTGAATCATGCATGTAATAAATTTTTTTTTGTCTTTATAGAAATATAATAATAGAAACACAGTGACTTTTCTTGCAACTAGGCTTTATATACTTGAAGACTAAAAATTAGTATTATAAATAAAAGTTAAATAAAGTTCAGGTAAAGTAGTTTTAAAATAGTCTCAAATTAAGGTTATAATTCTAAACGAAACTGTAGATTAGCAGTATTTTGGATTTATAATAAAGAAATATATTATAAACACTTATTAGCATTTTATTTACTCTATTATACATGCAGATAAATGAAAACAAGAAAAGCATATCAATGAATCTGGATGCTAAAGGTGGCATAGGGCATACTCTTATTACCAAGGTTTGATGCCAATATACTGTATGTGGATAGTTCTTGAAGGTGCCTAAAAGTGGTGGATTGAATAGACAAAATAACTATATTAATAATAAAAAACATTTCAAGTTGGCTGTTGTTATCAAATTTGGTGAAAGAGTAAGTAATATAGATGGAATATTTAATCGTATCAAAAATGAAAAAAAAATTAAAATAGAAAAGAATGAACATAAGGCATTGATTTATCATCATAAATTATGTAGATGATCTTAGATTTTATAGAATATGTAATGCTAGATATTGTTATCATGAATGGATTGGAGTTAAAAAGACAGTTATATATAATATGTATGAACTATTTAATGTTGGGTATTATGATTAAGAAGGAATTGAAATAATTAAAGAGAGGGACGATACTGATAACAATCAGACTAGTAAATATGCCAAAATTTTCAATTCATATTAATCTTAAATATATTTATTCCTTGAACCATTCATTTGTATAATTTTACAATATATAACACTTTCAAATAAATATAAAAAAAATTATTCATAAAATAAACAATTTTATTTGATTATATAAAAATTAAAATATTACAATGTAGTAAAACCCTCAAAATAAATGCAATACCTTAGTTTTCTATCACAGTTTCCAGAAAATTTTTTTTTTATTCTTAGCAGTACCAATGCCATATTTATAACATACCCAAAAATTATAGTTGCAATCCAAGATGCATTTTTCAATAAAGTTACCACCTTTAGTAGATTTTAAATGCCACTTAGTGCCTTTTTCATACTTAGTGCACAAACCATTCTTGTAGTAAAACACAAGCTGTGTTGTCTATTAAGATTGCTTTCTTTAGCATATTGATAACGATATCAAAAACTACATTTTTCAACAAAATTACCATCTTTAGCAGATTTTAAATAACATTCAAATGCCTTCTTTACATTTTTTTTTTGGTGCCACTCTCATAATAGATTCTGTGATTCAATTTTCCATCAGCAACTAGTACTGTATTTTTAATTGCTTAAGTTTGAAGTTAAATCGCAATATGCACAGAAAAAAAATAAACTCTGTAAAGTGACAGAAGCAAGTAACTTTACCTTAAGTTTATTCTAACACCAAACAAGTTTGTCGATCTCGCATATTTGGTTTAAGTAAATGAAAGCAATAGAAGGATTATTATAAGATCACCAACTCACCAATTCACCAACTTACCAATTCACCAACTCACCGTTTCATCAACTTACTGTTTTACCAACTTACCAATTCACTGGTTCACCAATTCACTGTTTCACCAATTCACCAATTTCACCAATTTCACTATTTTACCAAAGGTTTATTTTGGTATAATTCTGGTGAAACTATTTCACCATTTCACCTGATAAAATGGTCTAATTTCACCAGTATCTATACTACTGACATTAGAAGCTCGAAGCATTTATGTGAAGTGTAACATTATATGTACATAGAAAACTATATAATTGGTGTTGTATAAACTTTGGTGCAAACCCATGATAAGCCTTCAAGTCTAGAAGACTAAGGAACTGAGATGACAAAAACCTATTTGGAATTTTCTAACTAAAAAGATAACATAAACTTTTAATAATACCAATAGACTAGTTAAAACCTATAAAACATCTTTATAGAAACTGAAGGTTAAACTAGATGTCAAATATATGTAGAGAAGCATATAACCAACCAGGCTGTCAGATTTACCAAAGAAAAAGAATATAGAAGTATACCATACTGGGCTATTTAGATTGGTAATCTGAAAAAGACTGCAGGTTCTGAGTTGCAACTAATAGAGAATGATAAAGAAAATGCTAGAAAGATAGGTACTGAGGTTCTAGTAAACTTTACAAGAGTAGAAATAATATAATATAGCAGTTAAACAGATAACTCTGTAACTGCAAGTGTTAGATAACTATAGCATGTTGTTTTTTTTTTTTTTTGGTATTAAGGTAACCTCTTTGGTCTTTTGACTTTTATTAATTACTTATCAGTATTGTGGTTCA